CATATTTTGTCTTACAAGGTCCCTACGCTTCAGTATATTTAAATTATATGGTATGCGTGATGGCCAAATTAAAAAGCAAAATATTTATGATATAACTTGTACAGTCACACCCTCATTCATCACAGTTTTTGTATTAAAAAAAAACTAAGATTAAAAGTTTAAGGTCAAAGTTAAAAATTGTGACCTTTAACCAATTTTGTAGTAGTGCTCATATATTAGTATTATTTATTATGAATCTAAAGTATCAATGATAGAATAAATGGAAATAATAAAATCAAATAATAAGCATAGCATTAATACAAGAGAAGCTCTATTTACATCCCAAGATTCAATTGTGAGTAGCAGTGGGTTATAGCAGTAAGCAAGGGTCCTCAGTGCATCAAATCTTTAGTTAGTGTATGTATATTACTGAATACAACTATATCAAATCGTTCTCCCATTTTCTAATTTCTTGTATTTTGTATTCTAAAAAATAAATTGCCTCCCTAAACATTTAGAGTTTTCCAGTGCTTTATGTGGTTCAGGCCATCCCCAAACCCATGTAGAGAATAAAAAAAAGTTTAGCAAGATAAAATATGGGAAAGTGAACCACAACATAGCTAAAACCAAAGCAAGTAAAACCAGTTAATAAAGATATTTAACCTTCTGACTGACATCTAAAGTGAAACTTGAAGCAGCAAAGAAGCTATACATAACCATGACATCATTTTTTTATTTTTTTTCCACAATAGTCCCAAAAATAAAATAAAAAACAATTAGATTGCTTGGTTAGGTTTTTCAAAAAACACTTTTCAGAAAATCCTACTTTTCTTATTTTCCGTGTTTTTTTGTTTTTACTGAATTTTTTAAATATTTTAAGCAATTTTTTTTTTTACTTTTAAAAAGTAAAAAAATTGTGAAAAAAATCTTTTAAAAATTCACTAAATACCAAAAATACAAAAAAAAAAAAAAACCGAGAATTCAGTACATTTTTTTTGTATTTTTATGTATTTATTAATTTTTTAAAATATTTTTTCACAAATTTTTTACTTTTTAAATACATCTAAGTAAGGTACATCTAAAAAATTATAAAAAAAATGTTTAAAATTTTAAAAATATTCACTAAAAATAAAAAAACACGAAAATGAAACAACTTGATTTTCAAAAAACTTAATCTAAAAAATTTAAACCAAACACATTGAATGTCGTTTTTATTATCAATTCGTATGGTGCCAAAATATTTGGCTCCTTTTTGTAACAAAAAAAATTTCCTTACCAAATTACAAATTTCGTCTAAAAAAATTAACTTCTTTAGTCTGTTTATTACAGTAATGTGACCTAAGCTATTGGGGTATCATTTTTTTTGTTTATGATTAGAATTTTTTTTAGTGTCTTTCCTTTTTACATTGGAAACATAGTCTTTGTTAACTACATTATTATAAAACAAATCCATTCATGTGTGCATGTCGTGCACTTGATGAATGTACTGTAACCTTTAAGATTTTTGTTTGTTTTGTTTTTTTCCTAATCGAAGATATTATGAGTTTATTTTTTTTGCCTTTCTTCCCAAGGAATTCTGATTGAAGCCTGATGGATAAACCGACTAATCCTCCAAAGTGCCCGATCACTCCATTCATTTTCTTTTGATATTTCATTAATATCTATTTGTATGTAGTTATACATTTTCCATTATACGAATTCTTATATTCATTTTCATATGTTTATAGCCAAGAACAATCAATGGAGTTAAAAAAAAAACCCAAATGAAAGTAGACGTGAAGGTAAATGCAACGCATTCTTGTTGTTTGTAGTATTCCTCTTATACTTGTAAGCTTGTATGTAATTGTTCATATGATTTTATGCATGCAATGTAGGATATTGGGGACAAATGGAATCAACTTCCCGAAGAAGAAAAAAATAAGTATATACAAATGGGAAAGCAGCAATCTGAACGATATGCCTAATTAAAAACTGTGGTCCAACAGAAGCCTCCAAGAGTAAAAATTCAAACCCAGATTAAGCTTACATCGATTTGTAAGATTATTAGAAGGCTGGACAAAGCACAACAACAAGCAGTGACTGATATGGGGTTTCATGGCATCCTAAGCCTTAGGTACACGCACATGGATCATGACTTGTGCCATTGGTTAGTTCAGAACTTTGATCCTTCAACTCATTCATTGAATGTCCATGGTCTTCGAATGCTTCTCACCGTAGAAGATGTTCATGAGTTGATGGGATTACCTTCCAATGGTCTATCTGTGAAGTTAACAGAGTTCGTAGATGAAATTACAAACCTATGTGATGAACTTGCGGTGAAGAATAAATTTGTTCCGTTCACATCTCTAAAATCTTATCTGATTGAAACAAAAGATGTTAGAACTGAATTTAAAAAGAAATTTGTCTTATACATCATTGGAGCCCTCTTGTGCCCCATCACAAAGGCAGACGTACACCAATCATTCATTCAAATGGTTAACAATGTTGAGTCCATCTGTCAATTCAATTGGGCAAAGCACACACTTGATTTTCTTGTCGACCGCATTGCTATTGCCAAGGTCAAAGAGCGGTCTACTGTGTGCGGCTGTTTGCTTCTTCTAATGGTACCTCCCCTTGATGTGTAATTATTTCATCTATTATTTTTTATTGCATATTGTCTAACATAGATTAAAATGACTTCTTATTTTCTTTTCTTTTTCATGTAGTTATTTTACTTGGAACAATTTGCTCGCAAAAACGAGTTGGTGGCTACTTCCAATCCCATCACTCGCTTATCTTATTGGGGTAATTCAAAAATTAAGCAGGGTTTGAATCAAATTAAAGCTTTGGGAGGATATTTAAATGTTGAGGTAAATATTTACAACACATGACTTTTTATAATTATAACTCAATTTACATTACACCTGTGACATTAACAAGTTATTGTATATGTGTGAATAGGTGGTTTTGCCTAACATTGTTGAAAAGTCAAATGCAGTAACTCTTAGCCAGGAAGAATTGACAACAATGATGACTCCCGATTGGCTAAAGTTGAGAAACAAGTTATTGAAATTCATGCCCTTTTGGTCCAAGGCCACAAGGAGACAAGGCAAGATGAGGATGAGAAACGTCTAACCAAAGTGGAGAATCAAGTTGGAAAAATTCTTGAGTTGTTAGAAAAACACATGCCAGTTGATAGAGAACAAGTTAAAACACCACCAAGCAAACTACTTGCGAAGCAGCGACTGGTCAAAATGGAGAACCAAGTTGGTCAAATTCTTGAGTTGTTAGAACTATGCATTCCATTTGATGGTGGACATGTTAAAACACCACCAAGAAAACTACATGAGGATCATTGAATTGACATTGAAATGGTTGATCTCAATGTTAGTGGTATCGAAAAGGTTGCAGCCAATTCCCTGAAGTTTTTAGATGAGGATGAGATAAGGAATATGAATGACAAAGAACCAATGGAAACTTCGCGTTCGAGAAAAACAAATTCAATCCTCACACCACCAAATACAAAGGTAGTTTCAAAGAAACAAGCCAAATTGGTTGGTGGGAAAGCATTAAATAATGAATGACTTTCTATTTCACAAAAGGGGCGATCTCGCGCGAAAAAAAGCAATTCAAAGGCAGTTGAAGTGAATGTTGTAACAATGTCATCATCATGTAGTGTTGTTCATGGTCCTCATACTCGAGGGACCCAACATTGCAAAGCTAGTCAGTGGTTGTGTACACTTTTTGTGAAATTCGATGTAATGAAGAAAAGACCGCAATTGAAGCCATCGTCAAACAACAACAACGTTGACAATAATATTCATGACAATCTTGATCAAGTAAACAAAATGATTGTGTCTCAAAAACATATTTGATTTGTGTGTAACAAATAGTGTTTGTTTCTTACTTTTCTTTTACTTGTATCAGCTATTTGATAATTTACTTGATCAACCTAGGGGTAATGTTGGTCCTGAAACCCCAAAGGTTTGGAACTAACTATTATAGTGTCTTTTGTATATGTGGTTATTTTGCGCTAACTCCATCTTCATGAACATACACTAACCAAGCTTGATTTGTTTTATGCACTATTCTTCTCAATACCTTTACAAGTCATTCGTGCCTTTGCCAGACCCATTAAATGACTATGACAGTCTCGTTCTACGATATGCATTTGATGAATCTCTTCCAGAAGGGTACAATTTGACAACCTTTAACTTGTTATATATAAAGTACTATACCTTCTAACTCACATAGTTATCCATGTGCAAGGGAATATCTTGTGAGGATGTAACTCCACTACGTGGAAGCACAATCTGCAACTCGCAAGGAATTGTGGTCGTTGAAACCATATCAATGGATATCTTCACGTGTAAGACTTTTCTCTTTCTCCTATTTTATTTTCTACCATTCCATCATCCAAGTTACTTTACTTTGCCTACTCATAAATTTCATATATTTTGCACTGCAGGTTATAAATCTCATTGTTGTGAAATTGACAAATAAACAAAGGAAAAAGTTTCCAAATAAGGATCACATGGTTTGGTACTTTCCGACCCATGTATCGGTAAGTATTAGCCATACCTAAAGACTCTGCTCATATAGGCACAAGTTATTTATATGTTAAAATTGAATATGCAGCAAAAGATTTTGTGTCAACCTTCTGATGATACAATGAAAGACATAGTAGAAGATTATTTTGGAATTTACAGATACACTAGCCCCCTTCATGATTATAAGGAGGTAACATGATAAAATACTACTATTACCTAATTTCCAAATTTACCATGCACAATAACATTTGATCCATGTTATTTATTTATTTATTTTTTGCATGTACATTCGACGTTATATTTTTAGATTTACATGCCCTTCAACTATAGGAAAAACCACTGATTGTACTTGAGCATAAACATGAAAAAACGTGTTGCCTATCTATTCGACTCCAGCATTATGATAACCATTATGATACCAATTGTACCCTCTTTTTTGTTTCTTGATCTATGTACCTTACTACATACCACCAATAACTACAACCATTGCATAAGCTGCTTCAATATGCGCATAGAGAAGATTATGTTCAAGACGTTAGCTCGTTTGCATTTCAATGGTTGGAAGACATGCCACGCCAAGACAACAGGTAATACACTACATTGTCGTTCTTAATTTTTAAATAAGCATTAATGTTATAATCTCTAAGTTCGTTGACTCTATTGTTACAACTACACTCATTCCTATAGCTATGATTGTGGTCTTTTCGTCATCAAATATATGCAAGGGAAACCTTTGCCTTCGGGTGTAATCAAGGTACTTACATTTATACCCAACTGTCCACTTATCAGTATCTTATGTTTTATGAAGACTAATTTTATAATGTGTGATGTTTTTACGTACTCACTACTTTTGGCATGTAGTTTAACTATTTGCATAGGGCTCGCTTGTTACTTGATCTTGTGATATACAAGCATAATTCAGCTCCTATTGTTGGTGATATCGCGCAATATAAAGCTGGTGATATTTACAGATACACTAGCCCCCTTCATGCTTATAAGGAGGTAACATGATAAAATACTACTATTACCCAATTTCCAAATTTACCATGCACAATAACATTTGATCCATGTTATGTATTTATTTATTTTTTGCATGTACATTCGACGTTATATTTTTAGATTTACATGCCCTTCAACTATAGGAAAAACCACTGATTGTACTTGAGCGTAAACATGAAAAAACGTGTTGCCTATCTATTCGACTCCAGCATTATGATAACCATTGTGATACCAATTGTACCCTCTTTTTTGTTTCTTGATCTATGTACCTTACTACATACCACCAATAACTACAACCATTGCATAAGCTGCTTCAATATGCGCGTAGAGAAGATTATGTTCAAGACGTTAGTTCGTTTGCATTTCAATGGTTGGAAGACATGCCACGCCAAGACAACAGGTAATACACTACATTGTCGTTCTTAATTTTTAAATAAGCATTAATGTTATAATCTGTAAGTTCGTTGACTCTATTGTTACAACTACACTCATTCCTATAGCTACAATTATGGTCTTTTCGTCATCAAATATATGCAAGGGAAACCTTTGCCTTTGGATTTAATCAAGGTACTTACGTTTATACCCAACTGTCCACTTATCAGTATCTTATGTTTTATGAAGACTAATTTTATAATGTGTGATGTTTTTACATACTCACTACTTTTGGCATGTAGTTTGACTATTTGCATAGGGCTCACTTGTTACTTGATCTTGTGATATACAAGCATAATTCAGCTCCTATTATTGGTGATATCGTGCAATATAAAGCTGGTGATGCTCTATTCTTTTTTATTTTTCATAAGTTCGTACAATCAATGACGTTATTGCATTTCTTAAACTAGTGAACTTTGAGTTTATAACTCAACCTTTGTTATAAAATTATATTCTAAAGTGTGCTATCTTGTGCAGAACTCAGAGCTAGGGGTGAATTGAAACGGAAGTAGAGGCTATACAACTTTCATGATCCTGAAATAAGGAAAGATAGTGGATAAGGTTGTGGGAGCCAACAAAGACGAGTTGCTACCATTGCTAAGCACGTCAATGCCGCCTGATTAATACTATTATGTTTCGATTTTTGCTTTTCAGGGTGTCTGTGGACCTTTGTCATATGATACATATTGATTTGGCTTTGCTTCATAATGGAAACATACTACTATTCATGTCTGGGTCTACTAACCTACTTCATTATTTGGATGATATTTTGCAATTATTATGTCGCTGACTTTTTATTGGAGGCAAAAAATGGTGATTGATTGATTAAGGTTTTTTTTTTTTTTAATTCCAAAAATATTCTATATAAAGTGGACAAAAGTTGGTGTTGATGCTGGAACCTCCTTGCAGCCCCTTTCCAGATTGAGCCCAGTGAGATGAAGAAACTTACGTTTAGTTCATCCATTTTTGTCAAAGAACAAGAAAAGGTATAATTTACTTTAATGTGACATTGATGTGTCAAAGACTATGCTATAAACAAAAGTAGTGAGAGTGGTTGATCTCTCAAGGTTTCAGCCAAATCATAATCACTCTACTTCTTGAGAGTGACAGTTTCATTACTAGATTCAAAGAATGTACAAGTTAATCTAACTAATAAACCTATTATCATGATATAAATAAAATAATAGCATGTTAAATTTTTTTAAATTAAAAAAATGATATAAGATGCGGTCACAAAAAATTAAAGCATAAATCATGCCTAAAGTGAATTAGTTTCTCATCATATTTTCTTTTCCTGGTCGTTTTCAAGATTGCCAATTAAGAATTAAATAATTTCCTTTGTATTTTTTTTCTTCTTGCCCTCAACAAATCCAGAAACAATGCATTAATGGTGGGGTATCACTAAGGTTCTTCCAATTTGAACAAATACTTGCCAACATGACCTCATAATCCTAGAAATATTTTCAATCAATTTTCTATATGCACTTGCTATTGCGCATTGTGGTCTAAATTTTTTATTAAAACCACACACATATATACATCTTAAAGAATTGATCCATCAACGATTACTAGTGCAAATGTGGTCTAAAATTTTGATATACTAGGGGATATCCCTATCAAAAATTATTCAGGAAAAAGTGATATTATGTATATGGAAAAAAATTCGGATCGAAAATATTTTGATTGGAAAATTCTCCATTTTTGTCTTAAAATGAAAATCGATATTGAGGCCTGAATCAAGATCGATGCCAACAATAATAAAAATACTAAAACCAGGACTAATAATTATCAAATAATTGATAAAATTGATAAAAAAAAGATCTTTTTTATCTTACGATTCCTCAGGATCAAGAAATCAATTCACCCAATAAAAAAAAAAAATCTTTTTTGATTGGATGGGAATGAATGAAGAACTACTAATTCGTCTTATATCCAATCTGAAAGTTTGGTTCTTCCTAGAATTTGTACTTCTTTATAATGCATATAAAATAAAACCGTGGTTTATACTAAGCAAATTACTTTTTTTTAATATATATGAAAACGGTAGTGAAAATAAAAACATCAATAGAAAGCAAAAGAGGATTATACCCTCGAATGAAAAAAAAAATGGAATATCTGGAAGCCACTTTAATTGGATTCTCATTAATCTTACGTGGTTCCATGATTCTTCCCTCTCATCTTTACATTTCTACCTCACCTAATCCCTTGCACCAAATTCTCCCTTCAGCCCCACAATTCTTGCCTATAAGATATCATATCACTAATTTATTTATTTCATTTAATTTATAAAAAAGATTTCTTTAAAAAAAACAAAATACTTAGGTTAGAATTCCACTTTTAAAATTATTAGGCCAATAGAGCCAAGCCTTTATCTATCCAAAAATTTATCTATATGTTCAAATGTTATTTATCTGTACCCACGTCACGTATTTTTCTAATTATTTGTCCAAATATCACCTAATTATACACGTGTCACTTATTTGTCCCACCTTACCGCTACCAGCCATTGTTGCCAGCTACCACCATCCGCCAGCCATTGGCAACTTTTCAACAACTTTCACTGCGTGTTCTTATCACAAAAACATATTAAAATTTGGATCAAACAACATATGGTCCCATAAGTTTGGAAATTTCATCAATCAACCAAGAAAAAAAAAGAAAAGAAAAGAACAACCAATGTATAACAATTCTCATTAACAATCAAACAAGAGGGTTAGGAGTGATAAACGAACCAAACAACTTGAGCTCGACTTATGTTCAGCTCATTAAAAACTCATTTGACCTCAGTTCGTTAAGTAAATAAGCCAAACTTGAACACATTTTGAAACTCATTAAAGTTTTCAAATTAAGTTTGAATAGTCAATTGCTTGTTCGGCTCTGTATGATGAATCTAAAACTACCAAATTACTTGAGGTCGGCTTGACAAAAACTCATTTGATATCGACTCGAAAATTTAACGAACCAAAGTTGAACAAATTTTAAAATTCATTAAAGTTATCAAAGCAAGTTATAATAATTAATTGTTCGGTTCGTTTATTATCCCTAAAGAGGGTTTAAATAGGACTACAACTATTTATCTTTCTCATTTTACATCCCCTCCATACCTTATTCTCTCTACTACTTACAACACAATTTTGGAAGCAATTATTATTTATCTAGAATCACTTGAAAATAAAATAAAATAAACACTCTAGAGGATTCATGCTTCGTCTGTGATGGGCGGGTGAAGGCAAAAATCTCAGTATAGAATTTTCAAATGTTTATGAAATTTAATGAATTTACTTGAACCAGACTCTCTTGTGATGTTTTTGCCCTCTAGAGTTCTTTCTTTTCAAACATGTACATTTCTTCTCTACTCCCTCAAAATTATGTTTATTTTTCTCATGGGTGCGAAGCAAAAGTATCAGTTCAGAATTTCATGACATTTACATGTCATTCAACAAATTTGAGTTCAACCAAAAATGAATTCAATCTTTCTCTTGTGACGTCATCTCCCTCTAAAAAAAAGACAGTACACCCACAAGTATCCTACTATCAATTAAAATAAACAAACAAAATAAAGGCACATCCGCCAGTGTCCTGCTATCAATTCAAAGCAAATAAATTCAAAAAAACAGAAGCAAGTAGCCTACTATCAATTAACATGAAACAAATAAATAAAATAGCACACCCGCAAGTGCCCTGCTATTAATTGCAAACAAACAAACAAAAAAAAGACAGCACACCCGCAAGTATCCTACTATCAATTAAAATAAACAAATAAATATGAAAAGACAACACAAATAAATAAAATAGCACACCCGCCAGTGCCTTGCTATTAATTGCAAACAAACAAACAAAAAAAGACAGCACACCCGCAAGTATC